CACTAATAGTAAAACTAAACACTAATTCTAGAAAAATAGAATAATAAAAATAATATAAATATAAGAAGGTCCTGAAATTAACACTAAAGTGACATATTAAGATAAGTGGGTATAAATAGTGCAATTATAAACAGTAGTGCAATTAGAATGAGCTTATGGAGCAGTTAAAGTGATGAGTGCATAGTCGGGAGAGAGAGAAACCACAGTGTGTGCATCTGCCGCCATCTTGTTAGTATAAGATGGTGTGATGTGTTGTTGAGGATAGCAATGAGCTTATTAACTGACCTCCTTTCAACGACCACCTCAAAACCATCCTGTGAGCATCCCAAGAGCACCAGCCTTCATCAGTTTACTGAGCCTTTTTGCATCTCCTCCTCTGATGCTTTCTCCCCAGCAGACTGCTGCAAAGAAGACAGCACCCACAACAAGACTGGTAGAAGATCGCCAACATCTTTGTGCACACATTAAATGACCTGAGCCAGAAAGTAGAGTCTGATGTTGAAAATTCATGCTGAAAATGTTGTTTGAGAAATCACTGAACTCACACCCACTGTGTTATTTTTCATCGCAACGTGTAACTTCCTGTACACAGCCTCTGCATCGGCCCCCCCAGTCCAGTTTGTAGTTAAGCAGGACACCTAGATATTTGTAGGTGTCTACAAGCTCAAGGTTCTGATCTTGGTTCTCTTTCTCCTGAAGTCCACCACCATCTGCTTGGTCTTGGTCACATTGAGGATCAGGTGGCTCCTCGTACACCACTCCACAATAATTTCCACCAGGTTTCTATATTCTCCTTCCTGCCCACCTCTAATGCACCCAACCTCCACAGAGTCATCAGAAAATTTCTGAATGTGGCAGAGGTCTGACCTGTATTGGAAGTCCGTCGTGTACAGGGTGAAGAGGAAGGGGTGCTCCAATGCTGCTGACCAGATGATCTGAGAGGCAGGTTCACAACCGCACATACTGGGGTCTTCCAGACAGGTAGTCTAAAACCCATGCAATCATGGACTTGTCCACCTGCATTTTCTCCATCTTCTCCCCCAGCATGAGAGGTTGGATGGTATTAAATGCACTTGAGAAGTCTAGGAAAGTAATTCTCACTACGATGTTATTCTGGAATGTGCTTTCTGCAGTAGATAAATAACAGTGTTGTCCACACAAACCTGCTGTTGATGAGCAAACTGCAGGGGGTCCAGAAAAGAGCTGACCTGAGGTGTGAGATGTGACAGCACTAGTCTCTCCAAGACTTTAAAGACACAACCTATTACAGGTTTACTGTGCTTTATTTTTTGTTTTGTTAGTTTCTTTTTCTCCTGTTTGCTTTATTTAGTAGTTCAGTCTTTTTTGGTATGTTTTATATCTTTTTTTTATCATTGTGCTATTATTGGCTGTACTTACTGCTCTACTGTTTGTTTTCTATCAGCAGAGTCTCTGTGAATCATGTTCAAAAGCAAGTCTTCATGGCCTGAATGCCCCCCTGTCTGTTGCCTGTTAGGACCGCAATAGCAGTGGCTATAGATATACTGATAATGACTCTAAGCTGTTGTGGGTTTTGGGCTTTCTGTTCTTTGTAGGTGCCTCATGGAGGTGGTCGGTGTAGCACACCTGAACTCTCCATACAGAAGAATGGCTCTTTCTTGTTGTACACAGCTAAAAATATTACAGACAAAGACACATTAAAGAAGAGAATTGAATTAAAATGATGGACACGTTAGTGTTTATATAAATTATTATTATTAATTATGATTAATAACATACTTGACTTTTAACACTAAGACAGTACACAACAACAGAAATCAAATTATTATAGACATATTTTTTTCCATCTGAAAGATATTTGATCTCACAAATAAAGTCAAGAAATTACCTTATTCTATTAGAATTCCTGCAACAAGATAAACAAACATAATTAATAATGCACTAAAATGAATAATAAAGCAATTGTTAAAAAGACAGAAATAATATATGATGTATAAAGTGGTGGCCATCTCTAATAACACAACAGCAGTGTCACAGAGTCTCTGTTGAATCATCACAGTATTATGGTCATTTAAAATCATGGCTGGGGAGAAGCTCCTCGTAAGAACCCAGAGATCTCCAACTGCAGCCAAAATTACATGAAGTTATACAGTCCCCAAAAGGGGAGTTGGTACATTTCATTCATCAACAGAGAAGAAAGCAGTTACAAAACACTGGATACACATAACTGTAATATGAATAAACAAGAGAACATTAACACAAAGCAATAATAAATTAGCTGAGGAAACAGAGGTAAAACCAAGGTCTGGTATGTAAATTTTTTTGTTGATTTTGTTACATCCCAGCGCATTCCTTGCACACACACACAAGAAAGAACAGAGGATCATTCTGAACTTATGAGTAACATAACATTATAGCACGCGCAGATCATAAAGATACAAGTGGTATTACTAGCTATATGAATAAATGGTCATATGTGAAACTACTGCTTCCATAACATAACAGTAAGATAAAGTGAAATAAAGTAGTACGACATACATACAAAAAGCCAAAAAGGTTATTAAATTCGTTAAATGACCAGCAGAATGACTTCTTCACACAATGGAAAATACTAACAAAGTGTATCGATTTTAGTTTGATAAAAAATGGTTCTATGATGTCACAGTAACTGAAGAAAAACCATCATGCCCTCCTTGGAGAGATTAAGCAGGCAAAAAGAAGATTGTTCTTGGGTTGATAACTGAGAGGCTGGGTCAATAGTGTCAGTATTTAGAAGACTTTCACAGGAATCACAGAACTACAATCAGTGTATTTTTTAAATTTGAGAGGTTTTCATATCTTGGCCAATTTAAATTGAAGTACACTTTGAACTCAGCCAGAGGGTTGGAGACAACAATCTGACTAGTAAATTGGTAGTTGGAAATCAACCACTGTTTGCTTTTGTAATTACTGGACAAAGTTCATTTAATCTCCATATGATGCTACTGTTCTATCATACTGTACTGAAAATTACCCCAAGATTCTAACATGATTTAGGATTAATTTAAAATGACAAGTTACATGTTTATATATTTTGCATATGATTTAGGAAAAAGAATCAATTATATATTTATGGCATTTGGCAGACACTCTTATCCAAAGCGACTTAGAGTTTGATCATTTTACACAGGTAGGTGAAGGTAGTGTTAGGAGTCTTGCCCAAGGTCTTTTATTGGTATAGTGTAGGGTGCTCACCCAGGTGGGGATTGAACTCCAGTCTACAGCATACAAGGCAGAGGTGTCACTCTAATGACATCATTAAACAACAAATTACAGATGAGACACAGTGTTGTGAACTTTCTGTGAAATTCACATTTCAGTTCTTTTTTTAATGCAGAACTGTCTTTATGTACATTAATGATGTTTGTGGTTTCTCTATTTATACTTTGTGTCTTTGCATTACAGCTGTTGCCACACATACCTTAGCGTATGGCAAGAGGAAGGAAGAAGGGTAGGGTTTCCTTTTAAGTGGTACTTGGTCCAGCAATGTTTTATGGTTGGTTGAGTGGAGTTGGGCTTCATTGTCCCTGTAAAAAAATAATGAAAAAAATTCTAGGCATGTTGCATGCTTTTAAGTACAATATGGAAGATGAGAAATTAGTAAAATCTTTTGAATTACAGCATGTACATCGTGTAGTGGAGTTGACTCTTCCTTGGATTAGGGCTTGGGTTTGTTTATGGTGTCTCCACCTTGCAGAGGCTCTTTGGGGGCTGATGCTGGATTCCAGAGATCAGATTTTGTCAGAATGCTTACTCTGTTTGGTAGTCCTTAGAAAGCTGAGCAGACTTTAGTTTTATAAGACATCACTGCACAGGTGGTAAAGGTTAACAGTGGGTTTGCGATGGCTGTGTATTTCTGCCATTCACAGCTAAAATAGTAATATTTATTTCTGAAGGTGGGCACCACATTCTATCTGGGACCACATTTCCTCCTTCAGTGCAACTTCACTACATTTGTTTGATGTCAGGTCTGAACTGAACTCTCCTACTTTTCCTTAAAGTAGCATATATGATGTTTTAGCTTAATCTATGTTGAAATCACTGCCATCACATAGCTATGAGGAAAAAAAAATAACACTCTATGGTTGGTTGTTTTGACAGGGGGTGTGAGTTCAGTGATTTCTCAAACAACATTTTCAGCATGCATTTTCAACATTAGACTCCTCATAGATCAACTGTAAACTGGTCATTTCATTTTATTTATTATGAGACCCACCAAACTTGCCTGCTTATGACTAAATGATTGTTTATTAAAAATCATATACTATATAGGGTATTAAACCTACCATGGTGTCTTGAATACGTGCACCTTAACAAGCTGTGGCACAAATCCGATATATTTTCAGAGCTGTGTGGACACAAAATCAGAATTTTCAAATCAGATCTGAGCCACCTACATATGTGGTCCTAAATTGGATACATATCTGATTCTTGGTCATGCAATCTGAATGAGAAAACACACATTTGAATTCAAACATTGAAATGTTTTTTTTTTTTTTATTGCTCATATACCACTAGTAAATACTTATATGCACTAACAGACTGTAATGAAACTGTAGGTGATTCGGTGCTAAATCTGAGAAACATCAACATAGCAGTGACTAGGTTTTCGAGTGATCTGACCTACAGGTCTGGAAATGCCATGCCATGGTTTACTGTGTTGGAAGCTGTCAGTTTAAATGTAGCTTATCCTCAATTGGCTGCCAGGTCATAAGATCAGATAAGTGATCACATCATTAATCAGTGAAGCCTTACTAGTATAGGAAGATATTTTAGCAAGATTGATGGTTGAAATTCTGGAGGAGGTACTGGTACATGCATTCAGTTTTCAGAAAAAGCAAAGACCATAGTTAATTATGTGTGCATTCTAGAAGTGTCCAGATAATGGGGATACAGGCCTCCAAGACTAAGTGAGCAGCAAGGGAGCGTGATGGCCAGCAAATGTATCTTAGCTGATGCACAAAGCCAAGTACATGTCATAAATTAAAAACAAAACCTACAATTGGGCATGTAAGCTTTTTGGTTCATTTACTAAATACACGACCCACTTCAAAGAAAGAAAACTTTAACCAAAGAAGACAATTTAAATAAAAAAATACAGATGAGCAAACATAATCCAGGGCTAAACAACATAGTTTTATTGACAAATCCAATTGGCATAACATCACAATCACCACAACATAGTTAAACATTAGAATTCAACCATTCCAAACACTACAGAAATTACAAACCCATAATGAATGCAGAAAAGCAGTTAGATTAGACAACCCAGCAAATCTGCCAACAACAACTTGGGAGGGTGGAAACTCACTGTGGATACAGTTCAGGGCTTGGGGTGGTTGGCTAAAACTATTGCAACTGGTAGTTCAATTAACAAATAAAAATCTGTGAGCCAGTAGTCCAAAAGGTCCAAAAACTGGGAAATCCATACAGACCAGAGATAGACAGAAAAACAAGACATAAAACAGAATTTGTTAAAATAGAATGTGATACAACTGATAAAAGTTTCACTTTTATTATCATCTAACTTTTCACAAACTGGCTCCTGGTTGAGAGGTATGGGTTAAACAAGACTCTTTCATAATGCTGACTGAGGTAACAGGCCATTAAGTGTTTCTCTGTTTTTCCTGTGTAGCATGCAGGGGGTGTGAGGTCTTGTCCAAGATGGCTAACAGCTTGTTGAGAGTCCTTTGTTCTGCCACAACCTCCAAAGAGTCCAGCTTGACTCCCACAACAGAGCCAGCCGTCCTAATAAGTTTGTTTATTTTGTTCAGAGCACTTTCTGCTGCTGCCCCAGGACACAACAGCCTAGAATAAAGTACTTGCTGACAACAGACTAGTAGAATGTCCATAGGAGCTTCATGCACACACCAAAAGACCTCAGCCTCCTCAGGAAACATAGACAGCTTTGGCCGGTCTTGTACACTGCAAGAGTGTTACAGCTCCAGTCCAGCTTGTTGTCCAAGTGCACACCCAGATATCTGTAGGTTCCCACCACCTCCACATCAACTCCATCATTGGTGACTGGTGACAAGTCAGGCTTGGAAGTCCAGCTTATACCAGTCATAAAAGTCCTTCTCCAGCTTCCTGTATTCCTCCTTCTGTCCACTCCTCACGCACCCCACTATTGACATGTCATCCGAGATTTTTTGCAGAGGTCATGACTCTGTGTTGTACCTGAAATCAGTGGTGTCCTGGTTGAACAAGAATGGGGCTAATTCAGTCCTCTGTGGTGCCCCAACACTGCAGACAGCCTTGTCTGAGACACAGCCCTGCAGTCACATGCACAGAGATCATCCAGTAAGACAGTCCATTATCCATGCGATGATAGATTCATCCACCTCCATCAGTTGTACCTTCTCCCCTAACAGCACAGGCTGTACGGTCATGAATGCGCTGGAAGAACATGGTACTCACAGTGCTGCCTGATGTGTCCAGATGAAAGTATGTTCTGTCCAGCAGGTAGATAATGGCATCATCCACTACAAATGCCAACTTGATACGCAATGCCATGCTGATATTTGGCAATCAACTATGAGCTGTATTATTGAAAAGTGGAAGCATTTAGGAACCATAGCAACGCAAAGTGTCACCATGTAAAGTTACAGAGTGTGATGGCAAGCATTGAGGCACATAATGCCTAAAAGTTACCAACACTCTGTTAACTCGATAACTGCACAGTTCCGAACCTCCTCTGGCATTAACATCAGAACAAAAACTGGTCACTAGGACTGGGTTTTATTGTCCAAATAGCTGCATACAAGCCTTAAATCACCAAGTACAAGTTGGTGTGGAAGAATTTGACTGGCACACACAAAGCCCTGACCTCTACCCCATCAAACACCTCTGGGATGAACTAGAATGGAGATTGCGAGCCATGCCCTCTCCTCCAACATCAGTGTCTTCCTGCACATATGCTCTTCAGGATGAATGGGCAAAAAGTCCCACATATACACTGTAACATCTTGTTGAAGTCTGACCATACCAAAACATTTAGCCTCAACAGTGAAAAATGCTGAATAACTTGTGTTGTCTTCTTTACTCAGTGATTGTTATTTAGTGAGAACAGCCTAACTGTATAACTAAGGGCAGCCGTGGGCTAGATTGGGCAGTCATGGGCTGGAGGTTAGGGAACCAGCCCTGTGAACAGAAGGTCGCCGGTTTGGTCCCCTCGGCTGAAAGTATGTGACTGAAGTCACATACTTTGAGCAAGGCACCTAACTCCCAACTGTTCCCGGGCGCTGTGGATAGGTTTGCCCACAGTTCTGGGCAAATGTGCTCTCTGCCCCTAGTGTGTGTACATTCACTAGTGTGTATGTGGTGTTTCACTGCACAGATGGGTTAAACGTGGAGGTGAAATTTCCCCGTTGTGGGACTAATAAGGGTCACTTAATTCACCACTGCACATCTCAGATGTAAGCTTCAGTAATGGCCCTTTTCATCTCACTCAGCAAAGCAGAGCTGTTCAAGGAAATGAAATATTAGCTCTTCTGGTTCTCAGAAGATGAAACTTGTAGTAAGCTGGAAAAAAAAATATATATATATATATATTCTTCCATTTAACTGCTTGGACAAAAAAAAAGGGGGGAAAAAGCTATGCATTGAAATCAGTGAAGGCTCTTACCTGATAAAGTAAGATTTCATTTCTAACTCAGGACAGAAGCCCAAATATTTTTTTTGAAATCCATTGAAATCATGCGTGTGCCTTAAAATTAAAGGACTGAAGCTCTTCCCAAACTCTGAGCAGTGATGTTGTTTTCTCAGGAGTGAATGCACTGGTGATTTTTGAGGGAACCACTTTCTCTAAAACTCTGTCCACACTCTGAGCAGTGATACGGTTTCTCTCCTGTGTGAATGCGCTGGTGTTTTTTGAGGTTACCACTTTCTGTAAAACTCTGTCCACACTCTGAGCAGTGATACGGTTTCTCTCCTGTGTGAATGCGCTGGTGTATTCGGAGACTACTCTGTTGAGTATAGCTCAGTCCACACTCTGAGCAGTGATACGGTTTCTCTCCTGTGTGAGTGACCTGGTGTGTTCGGAGATTACTCTGTTGAATAAAACTCTTTCCACACTCAAAGCAGTAATACGGTTTCTCTCCCGTGTGAATGCGCTGGTGTGTTTGGAGGTTAGTCAGTGAAGTAAAACTCTTTCCACAGTCTGAGCAGTGATAAGGTTTCTGTCCAGTGTGAATGTGCTGGTGTTGTTGGAGAGTACTCTGTGAAGTAAAACTCTTCCCACAATCTAAGCAGTGATACGGTTTCTCTCCTGTGTGAATGCGCTGGTGTATTCGGAGATGACTCTGTTGACTAAAACTCTTCCCACAGTCTGAGCAATGATACGGTTTCTCTCCTGTGTGAAAGCGCTGGTGTTGTTGGAGACTACTCTGTGAACTAAAACTCTTGCCACAGTCTGAGCAGTAATACGGTTTCTCTCCTGTGTGAATGCGCTGGTGTGTTTGGAGATGACTCTGTTGACTAAAACTCTTCCCACAGTCTGAGCAGTGATACAGTTTCTCTCCTGTGTGAATGCGCTGGTGTGTTTTGAGGTTACCGTGTTGATTAAAGCTCAGTCCACATTCTGAGCAGTGATACGGTTTCTCTCCTGTGTGAATGCGCTGGTGTGTTTTGAGACTACTGTGTTGATTAAAGCTCAGTCCACATACTGAGCAGTGATACGGTTTCTCTCCTGTGTGAATGCGCTGGTGTGTTTTGAGACTACTCTGTTTAGTAAAACTCTTTCCACACTCTGAGCAGTGATATGGTTTCTCTCCTGTGTGAATGCGCTGGTGTGTTCGCAGATGACACTGTTTAGTAAAACTCTTTCCACACTCTGAGCAGTAGTGAGTTTTTTTGCCTGCAATTTTTTGTGTTGGTCTGCAAGGTGTGTTCATGTTTTCGGAGTACTGGAACTTCCAGACACCGTATTCTCACATCCAGTCTTTCCTTATTTCAGCAGTTTCATGCTGTGTTTTTGAAGGGTAATTTGAAAACTAGTTGGAAAGTTGTTGTTTAGAGCAGAAGACTTGTAGCAGGAGATCATTCTGAAAAAGAAAAAGGAGAGGAAAATAAAACACTTGTAGATTAGGTGTTATAGAAGATAACTGAAAAAATACAACATCCTATGTTTTTATGAAGAACTTACAACTCACTTAGGTAAGAGCAGAATCTACACACACTCAAAACCACAAATGTGCGAACAATTCTGCAGTTTAAGAACACGTCATGAATCTGACAGATTTTTTCAGAGAACCTTCTTCGAAAACACATTTAAGTAGAATTTGGGAAGATGGTGAATGAGGACCACTGATTTACTGAGGCAAAGGATCAGAGATTAGAACCTAATTTTATATCCAATCAATTAGGGCCACCTTTGTCAACAACATTCCCACATAGCCAGAACTTACTTAATTCAATTAAGTAAAATAAATAAATAAATAATAAAAAATAAATCGAAGGCATATAAAGTGGTAGATAACAAAAGGTCCAAGTTTGCACTGATCAAAGCAGTCAAAGATGCCTAATAAAAATACAGATATACAGTAATTCTCCTCAAATTAAAGGTTTCTCCATTTGGGAGGTGACTCCAGACCTTTACTAACCACAAATATTGCAGCAAATATTGCAACTAACCCCAAACCAACTGAATAACTTTTAATCAAGACAAAAAAGTCTTTCCTCCTGTAGGTCCAGCAAGTGGGGCCATATTAATAAAACATACTTAAATCTCATTCTAATTTAGTTTTTAAGTTCTCATTCAAAGTTTCTACATTTTAGTGTACGCTTAAATTTACACACTTCATTTGTAAATAAAAAAAAGGTTGTAAAAATGGGTGTTTGTGAACAAGCTTTCCAACACTGCCCATCTTTGAAGTGATTAGCATATGAATGTTTCCAGCAAAAAACACTCAAATGAAAAGAATGTAGAAAATCTTAATAAGGGTATGATCACCCGTTCAACAGTAAGCATACTAAAATCATTAATTCATTTATTTATTAGAAATGATACCAAATAATACTTAAAGAGCTGAGAAAGAGGATGGCATCAGGATCATGCATTAAACCAGCCTTTTGATCCCAACTTACATTTACGGCATTTGGCAGACGCTCTTATCCAGAACGACTTACAATTTGATCATTTTACACAGGTAGGCGAAGGTAGTGTTAGGAATCTTGCCCAAGGACTCTTATTGGTATAGTGTAGGGTGTTTACCAAGGTGGGGTTTGAACCCTAGTCTACAGTGTAGAAGGCAGAGGTGTTACCCACTACACTATACAACCACTACTTGATTTCAATGATCCAAAAAGAATACAGACCTACATCACTGGACAAAGTGCTATTTTCTAGATGAGAAAAGTTAATTTTAGTTTAACTTATGTCAAATTCAACATTGTTGACATGTTTGTTGAGACATTTTAACCTTTTGTGAGAGCTCCCTCCAGCAGAACCACATCAACCATTGACTTAATAGTGACTTAATAATTTTTCAATTTAATACGTGTGGTTTTAGTGATGTAGGTAAATCTAGCAGATGGGTGAAGGTAGCTGTGTCCCTTCAGTTGTTTGTACTGCTTTCATGTCTGACTGATCCTGCCAAAAATCTGAAAATTACAGCACTGTTTAAACTCTGAGTGATGCCCTGATGTTTCTGATAACTTGTTATTGATGTGAGATTTCTGTTATGAAATGGAGCCAATAGGTGTAGTGCCTACAAATTTTTGTGTAGCTATAGTGATCATTTTTGCTACAATTTCGCTACAGGCTTCAGTCAATCCACGCAAAATGTGAACCATAGAATGCAGTCTATGCTAGTGGCGCTTGTGCAACCCTGACTGAGCCGCACAGAGTTTGAGCAACAAAACTGATCACCCCTTACTAGCAAGCTTAGCTGAGGAGTCGGCAGCCAGTTCTCCATTGACTTGGAGACACTATGCAAAGCCAAGAAAGACGGCAGTGGAGCACTGACACCAAATGAAAGGGCTAAATGTGCAGTCAACAGCAAATAGGGATAAACTGTGACAGATCAAATAAGAGTTCCTTTATCTGGAGGAGATTCAAGACTAATTCTAACTACCATCCTAAGCCTTAAATGTTCCAAAACAGCTGAATATCTTCTGAGAAACTGAGAAACAAAGATTTTCTGCCTCCCTCCTGCTGAGCTACCGTCAGCCTAGGACACCCTGTCTGCAGAATCTTCACACCTCATCTCTGCCAGTTCTCACCTCTAAAGGACCTAACACTCCATTTCCACCTGGCCATTAAAATATTAGGATATAATCCAGATACTAGGCATATGAAGTGACCAGTATTCAGAAAGAAGCCAAATACACTGAAAAAACACAGCTTCAGTCAACAGACCATTCTTACAAATTCCTAGAGGTGATAATTCCGTAGGACCTCAAATGGGACAGGTACACCATGACAGCTATAAACAGGGTCTGGCAGTGCCTGCATTTTTTGTGATGGCTAAGATAAAAACACAACGCCTCAAACGCTGCTGGTTCAGTTTTAAACAGACATTATGCTATGTGCAGAAAAAGTTGACGGGTTACTGGGTCTCTTCCCTGAAAAAAAAAAGTATTCATCTAGGATGTGGAAGAGAGTGTGGCCAATCACACTCCCTCACACATCAGTGGATCTAGTTCCGTCGGAAAAGGTGAGTTTAAGTTAGTCTATAGTCCATGAGGTGCATCACCCTGTGAAAATGATCAATCAAACTGGGTTGCACCTGAAATTGCAGCTTATTAAACAGTGGTTTCTGTCAAATGATGGGACCTTTCCAGAGTGGATGTAAGCTATGGTCTAAACGAACAGGAGCTGCAGATGTAAGCTATGGTCTCACTGAACTGGTGTCATGTAACTACTGAAAATTAAACCAGCGTATAACCAGATAACCAGAGTTATAAACAGTGTAAACAGAGTGAAAAAGAGATAAACAGCTCTTTACCTTCAGCAGATCAGCTCCTGTTTCTCTCTATTTCTGTAAGAGTGAGTTATAAACAGTGTAAACAGAGGGGAAAAAGAGATAAACAGCTCTTTACCTTCAGCAGATCAGCTCCTTTTTCCCTCTAAAACCGCTCTTCTTCTTCTCCACTTTATTGTTTTCGGTGAACAAGCGTTTGAGAACTAGCGCCCCCAATTGACCTCATCTCTGTATCTGGGGGCGATGTTTTTCTAATCCCACCCGTATTCCTCCAAAACCCGCCTCCTGCGCGATGATTGGCTAGAAGTTCATAAGAGCAGCCGCCCATTTCTTTGAATTAACACAAATGAGCAATAAAATGAAAGAATAAGAATAACGGAACACATTCAATTATTATACGGATTATAATATAAACAACTGCAGCAAATTTGGTCAGAATTGATGTCAAAATTAATGCAGCAGATGATCAGACATTGATGGAGGACAGTGTGTAGTACAAATTACTAAAAAAGAAAAAGAAAATGATATATAATGTAATTTTTTTAAATAAAGAAAAAAATAAATAAAAAAAACACCAACCAGGAAAATATTTAGATTTTTTAGTATTGATTTTAAAAGTTCTGAAAGCATTGAATACATTTCTGTATTTCTTGCTCAAAAATAATCAACTGAATTGAAAGAGGCTTTTAAATGCCATTTATACATCTCCCTGAAATTTGGTAACAGGGTTGCAAAAAGGCTGTACATTTCAAAAAAGCTCAGATAGTCTCTGATTTAACAGCCTGAGGTTGATATTAACATTTCTTCAAGGTTAAACAGGTTAAGCACTTACTTTGATGAATACTTTGTCATAAAACACCAAAGAAAAAGTACATTTCAAAGAGCTTTTAAAGTGAACTTTGTTCACGGGAAATGCCAAGTTCAACTGAATTAAATTTCCTAATTGATTAAATCTTTTCCTTCTCTCAGTACTTACCTTTACTCAGTTTCTATGTAAATAGCTTGAATGCGAATGTTTCTTTTCCTGTTTAGTACATAAATCATGGAAATCTTCTGAATGACCGCTGAACGCTTGAACAATTTCAGACTTAAAGACATAAAGGACAAACTTCAGCTTTCTCTGCCAGCCCCATCCCCACAAAAACAAAAATTATTGAACCAAATGACTACAGGCCAGTAGTCTTGTCCTCTGTAGTCATGAAGGTCTTTGAACATGTGGTCCCAGCTCTACTGGAAGACAGGTCTTGGCATGGTCAGCTTGGCCCTGCACTTCATGCTGCAGCATCTTGACAGTCCTGCAACATTTGCTAGAGTTCTGTTTGTGGACTGATTAAACTGAAAAAAAAAAAAAATAGTATGCTGAGAATGGCTTCTGAGTACTTCACTTACATTTTATTGTTGACCTTAAGATTCAGAGCTAAAAAGTGTGAGTTATAATAACTGATAGTTAAACTACTTTGAGTTAAATAATCATGTGGAATCATTTACCTTATTATTGTAAGCTGACTGACCTTCACATATTTTGCAAGTTTTGTTTTGAATATATATATATTTTTTTACCGAAACATAAACAATAAATTAAATTAAAGGCTATTCTTATCTAATATGAATATTTTACATGGGTGGTCACATGAGAACAATAATGTGTGTCTAAAAGAAGTAAGGGAAATGTTACAATACAGATTCTTCATGAAAAGATTATCAACAGTAAAATATATATATTTACAATGAACCTGATAGGCAAATAACAAATAATAATTAATAATTTAATCACTTTAAATCCCAGGCTCTTTACATATTACAGTTTATTTTTAGTAACTGTGGGGACTTCAGTGCAAACCACCTGAGCTATTCTTAATGTGTAATAAAACTTTGCATCACAGAAGAAATCAGTGTGAAGATAACCAAGATGAAAAAGGCATGTTGCTACCAATATCATACAATGGAAAGGAGGCTAGGTTCTTAAGGTGCTTCTCTGCACAACGTCATAAAAGAATCACTTTGGTTTAATAGATGTATAAGAATTACTTTTGTCCATGAAATGTATGCAGGTAAAGTCCCTTTTTAAAGTTTAATGAACCTCGACATAACATAAATGTTCTAGGAAGAACTCTTAAAATAGTACAGGATTTGCTTGTGTACACCTTAAAACAGCTGTTCTCACTGACAGATCTCTATTAAACACAGTTCTTCAGAAAACCAAATGTGCTTCTTCAATGGCATCACTCAAAGATCCCTTTATGGGACTTTTTAATTATAGTGCATTGGTCAGCAGTAACATGGTTTCAGTTTGAAAGGAGATATTTATGTTGATGCAACAACAAAATCAGCGAAACTTAGTCAGAGGTAGTAAGGCTGTGGATTGTGATGATATTTTCATTTTAGAAAGAAATTGTAATATTTTTGTGGACACCTTTGTACTTTGTGGTTTCATGTTCAGAAGCCAAGAGTTTGGGGTTTCCTGATTTGGGTTTGAACAGCACATTTTAAAGAAACTTTGTTTTCTTGTGCCAGGGCTGTAATACTCATCCATTTCCTGTAAGTGCTGGATAACCACATGGATGTAATTGGACAACTTGGTACTGCATTTTAAGGATCCACATACACATGTATTCCAGTCAGGTTAACAAGGGATATCATCACCTTTGAGGCAAAGGCAAAGCAAAACATGTTTATTTATAAAGCACATTTACAAATTTATCAGCACCCTTAGTGAGGAAAGTCAAAGATTTACCAATTATCACTGGATGAAAGGCAAAATTGAAAAATCAATGCAAAAAAACATGATTGATTGGTCCTTGGGATAAGTGTGTATAACATTTAACCTCAATACATGTCAATCAAACAGGACAACTAATGCACAATTATATTTGTAACATTTCCAATATCATAAGTGAGGAAGGCAACTAAAAATAAAAAAAACTCAATGATCATTGTGATGACAGTGCTAGCATTCAACCCCCCAGAGAGTTAATGTTTTCCTTAACAATGAACACCTTTAACACTGTTGGATTAATCTCCTGTTACATTAATATTGTAAAGAAAACATAGTAACAGGAGAAAGAATAGCAAAGTTCCAAATACAAATGCTTAAGAAAAAAAAAATAAAAAGTTGAAAGTTTCAACTTTCAAAGCATTTTGTGTTCAAAGGGGTAAAACCAATTTTTTTTTTTTGTTTTGGCTGTCCAGTCTCACTGAAAATATAGTTTTTCAAAATAAAAAAAAATGGAAAAATATTTCAGTTAAATGACAGAGTAGTCCATATTACTATCATGTAAAGCATGTATGTTTTATGAATGTTCATGAACATGCTATGTTTATGTAAGATGTCATGAATGTTATGTAAACACCCTTCAGATAAAACGGTCCTGACTTATTTTCATATATTTAAAATGGTGAAACTAAATAAGCACTGGCTACCAGGTGTCAGTAGAATAACTTTGTCATCAATATGATAGAAAAGGGATATCATTTGTACTTAAGTGTATTAATAGTGCTATAAACTGAAGTCTAATTGTATGTATTATTACAGACGTAAAATCTACCATGAGACACACAGTAGTGTGTTTCTGGTGTTTTCATTTTTCCTGCAGGATTCAGGAGGTTATTATATCTCACACAACCACACAGGGTAATCATAGACCCCAATCCCGGCATAGAGAGGCTCAGTGAATGTGGTGTAGAGTGTGTGTAGGTGGAACATTGTGTGCGTGTCAGGTGAGATGGAGTAGAAGGACAGAGTGCCGGACTCCCAGTCCAGATACACTCCTACTCTTTTAGAGGGTGAAGGCGGGATAGGTAGGTAGGTTCTCTTTACATTGTGCCAGAAGGAGTATCTGTTGTCAGTGTATCTGATTACAAAGTACTGGAGACTCCAGAACTGATTATTGTAGGCAAAACCACACTCAAATATGCCTCCTTTCCTCCTGATTCCTCTGTACGATACTGATATATCAGCCCTCTGACTGCTCCACTGAACATCCTAGTAACAGCGTCCAGTCAGACTCTCCACACTTAGAACCTGAGGTATGCCATCAAATCTGTTTGGATGATCTGGATACGAATTATCCTTAAACACACACTCCACCTTTCTGTTCCCCTCAGACAGAAAGAGACACCTGTTCACTGTGTTTGAATCCAGAGTGAGATCAACAGCATCTGTAAAAACACACACATACAGATTAAAGGAAATATAGTGTGTGTGTATCTTACATTTCTTCAGTCCGGGTTTCAACCTGAAAACATAATGATGTTGGCTGTGTATCACTATCATACAAGATTGTTAGCAGTCAGGCCTGGAGTTAGAAGTCTGCCACAGAACACTGAGACCTTTGCCAAGAGCTGTTCTAAAATGCAGCATAGAACATTACATTTATGAAATTTGGCATCCACTCTTATCCAGAGCAACTTACGATATGAACATTTTTTACAGTGGTAGTTGAAGGTAGCATTAGGAGTCTTATAGGAGGTTTAGGTGTCTGTCGTACCTGTCTGACGTCAGTTCCAGGTGAGAGTATCGCTGGCGTCCGTCTGTTCGATTGCTGCTTCTCCCCTTGTCTCTGCGTTTAGTGTTTGTTTTGTTTTGTTTAGCTGTTTTTGAATCGCTGCAAGTGCCATTTCTACCGTTGCTAGCTGTTTTCCACTCCCGATCGACTGTGCGACATTCACTGCTGCTGTGCTGCCCTGCTACCCGGCTGTCTGCGGCGGCACTCACTGCCGCTCTGCTACCCTGCTCCTTGGGTGTCTGTGGCAGCATTGACCGCTGTTGTATTACTCTGCTCCTCGGCTGAATGCTGTGGCCTCCACCGCCGCTGCGCTACTCTGCTCCTTGGCTGACTGCGGCGGCCTCCACCGCCGCTGTGCTAGTCTGCTCCTTGGCTGACTGCTGTGGCCTCCACCGCCGCTGTGCTAGTCTGCTCCTCAGCTGACTGCTGTGGCCTCAACTGCCGCTGCGCTACTCTGCTCTTCGGTCGACTGCTGTGGCCTTCACCGCCTACTCTGCTCCTCGGCCGACTGCGGCAGCACTCACCGCCGTTGCGCTACTCTGCTCCTCGGCTGACTGTAAGCTACGGTCACCACCGTTGCGCTACTCTGCTCCTCGGCTGACTGTAAGCTACGGTCACCACCGTTGCGCTACTCTGCTCCTCGGCTGACTGTAAGCTACGGGCACC